ATAGATCAGACATAACAATTTTAACATTTTAGCAGCTAAATATGTCTGCTAACTTGGGACGGTTTAAGGGATAGTAAAATCTCTATAGATGCACATACTCTAAATAAATATTCAAACTTGGGCAGATATCATGTATCAAACTAAAATTTTTTCAGATCAAAATTTAAATATTAAATTTTATTAGGATTAGGGTGAAATCCTATATTAGGGTAGGGTAGATGTTAGCAGTATTATAGTTATTTTGATCTGATGCATATTTTAACTTGATATATAATAATCCCAAGTACATGTGCGTATTTATAAAGGTTTTATTGTACTTTTAATCATTCGGGTTAAATATAATAAAAAAGAACCAACAAAAATAAATGTCGTGAATAATGCTGAAATTTGGGGTCTCAAAAATATAAGCTCTGCAAAATCTAGATATATACTTTAATTATAAATTCTAATCCAAAATCCTAACCAAGTCTAAAACAAAATATTTTAAAAAAAATTTTAAAACTTTATATCAAAATAGATCCAAATTTCAGCACCAGCTACAGTAATAAATTTTTGTGAACAATTGTTTTTATGTTATAAAATTCTGTAATAAATCATAAATAAAAATCTTAATACTATTTTAAATCATTAGATACTAATAGTTTTACATAATATAGAAAACTTTCCTTAAAACAAGCCATCGATTATATCTCTGATGCTTGGGGGAAAGTCAGTAAAAACACTATAAGGAATTGCTAGAGAGCTACCAATATTATGCTAAAAACAGGCAAGCCAGAGAAATATGAATTAGATATCGAACTTCATGACAAGACCATTAATGTTGATGATAATGCTGCTATGATACTTGAAGATCTTTCAGCTGAAAATAATCTGGTAGTTCAAGAATTATCAAATAATATTAAAGAATATATCTAAATGATTGACCAACTAACCGCAACAGAGAATATACTAATGGATAAAGATATTATCAAAATGGTAAAAGATGAATTTCGTGATAATGAAACTGATGATAAGGATAATGACGAAGAAGAACCACCATCTCTGAAAACTATAACGGAGGCTATTGAGGCATTAGAGAAAGTTATAAGATACCAAGAAGACCTCGACGTTGAAAAAGGATTTGATAAGAATAGATTAATTGTCACAGGTCGAATATATGAATAATGGTTAAATAACAGGATATACCTTTATTAACCCGTTATTTACCCGATATGCATTTCGGGAAATGAATAATGGTAAACTAACAGATATCAGTATTAGGATAAGATGAAAGATAGATATTGGATACAAAATAGTATACCCTTTGTTTCCTAATACTATCCCGATATTCATCTCTACA